GAAAGAAAGAAAGAAAGAAAGAAAGAAAGAAAGAAAGAAAGAAAGAACAGAGAGAGAGGCAAGGAGAGAAAGAGAGAGACATTTCTTTAAAACTTATATATGTTCCCTTCAAGGCCATTTCCAATGCTTTCTTCACATCCCAACGAGCAAAAATGCCCCATTCTGACATGCCTTTTGTTGCCCCAGGGAGCTTGCTGTGTGTCCCGGATCCCAAGGAATACCACTGGATGAGCCAAGGGGTCATCCAGGTGGAAAACTTGGATGATGGAGAAGAACTGCTCCTCACAGACGTACGTGTTCAAAGGTGGTGTGGGCCACCACCTTGGCCAACGGGCGAAAAACGTTCAAAACGGTGCTTACGTGCTGAGCTTAAAACCCCGTAACCAGCTTTGTGTCCCGCTTCCTTCTCTGCCAAGGTGGCCTTCGATGTCCTGGGCTTCACCGGAGAGGAGAAGAACAGTGTGTACAAACTCACAGGGGGCATTATGCACTTCGGCAACATGAAGTTCAAGCAGAAGCCGAGGGAGGAACAAGCGGAAGTGGACACCACCGAGGGTAACGCAGTGGGGACGAATGCCAGTGGTCCTCAACTTACAACCCTTTGCTCAGTGAGCGTTCCACGTTACAACAGCCCTGGAAAAAGTCACTTATGACCGGTTTCCACAACGATGAGCATTGCACACGGCCATGGGATCAAAATTCGGATGGTTCCTATTTATGGAGTGTAGTACTCTTCTTGTGAAATACTAATGTCCGATATACAGTGCGGATTCCAGACAGATGAGCTGTATTCAAGTATTGGTCTAGCAAATGTTTTGTATGCCCTAGTTAGCAATTCAATATTTCCAGAGGAGAACCTTTGTAAGATTAGATTTACAAACTCTTAATGCCTTTTTGGCAATGCTGTTACAGTGAGCTCTGGCGCTTAGGTCATTAGATACGAATACTCTGAGGTCCTTGACAGAGTGAGGGTCATCAATGAGGTCATATCCGCCTAGCTTGTATGCGCAGTGCAGGTAAGGGGGTGGGGCGGGGGCACACCACAACAAAATGGTTCGCCATCACTGTCCTAAGGTCCCCATTAAGTTACAGAACTGCGGGATCACAGAGTTGGTCTATGGAAACCATCCAGGGGTGGGATTCAAATTTTTTAATAACCGGTTCTGTGGGCGTGGCTTAGTTGGTGGGCATGGCTTGGTGGTCATGTGACTGGCTGGGCATGGCCAACTCAACATCCCTCACATCGAGGCACGCATCTCCTTGCCTGGCCTCTCATGACTGTGGGGATGCTGCAACAGTCGTAAGTGTGAAAAAGGGTCATAAATCACTTTTTTTGGTGCCATTGTAACTTTGAATGGTCCCTCCACACAAGCAAAGTACCAGCAAAAGGGGGAAAAAACTCCAGAGAGGTTCCAGAGACAGGAAGTCTAGTCTTGCCAAGAATGTAATAAGGGTTAACAGAGAGGCAGTTTCTGTAAGCAACACCAGAATGTTTCCTTCCTGCCTTCCTTACAGGATTAGCCCAGTAATTTCTTCTAACAACCAGTTCTCTGAACTGCTTAGAATGTTAACAACCGGTTCTAGAGAATAGGTGTGAACCTGTAGAATCCCACCCCTGAAACGATCAATCAATAAATGTCTCCGTTTTGATCTTTTGGCAGTGGCTGACAAAGTCGCCCACCTCATGGGCCTGAACTCTGGAGACCTTCAGAAGGGGATTACCAGACCCCGGGTGAAAGTAGGCAATGAGTTTGTGCAGAAGGGGCAGAACATGGACCAATGCCAGAACTCCGTTGGCGCCCTGGGCAAAGCCGTCTACGACAAGATGTTTAAGTGGCTGGTGGTCAGGATCAACAAAACCCTGGACACCAAGATGCAGCGGCAGTTCTTCATTGGCGTCCTGGATATCGCTGGTTTTGAGATCTTTGAGGTACCCAGAAGCCATGAATGATTTTTTTTATTGCACACGATTCAGAGTTGGGGGACAACCCCCCCCCACCGCCCCCAAAAAACCCGGCTTGTAGAATGAAAGTCATCAATGTCCCACCCATTCTGTTACATTGGCACCAAGACAACACCTTCCACATTTTCCAGCTTGCCATCAATAGCTAGACTTCTACTGTCCCTCAGCCCTCCAATCTACCTTGGGTTTTTGGTGGGGTCAGCTGGTAAAGCAGATTTGATCCCCAACCAAGCATGAAAATGAAACTCCCTTCTTGCTTGGCAAAGGGTCATGTGAGGGCTCCTTGGTGCCCTCTGAGCTTGCTTGTTTTCTTACGGACATTTCATGTTCTGACCCAACCCTGGTTCCAAGGAAACAAACACCAAACAGAGGTAACAGCAAAACCTTTGAATGATTCTTTACAAATTCCGTTCCTTCACGATGAAAAGGCTATTTCAAACGAATTGTCTCAGATAAGAATGAGCCTTGCCAAGGTTGTGCAAGGCTGCCATGAACACCAGATAAAGTTACTAAGAAATATTTCAAACACAAAGAGTCTCCAAACACCAGCCAAGATATTTCGAACTTCCACAAGGCTTGAGTGCAAAAACGTCTTTGCTTCCTGCAAAGAACTCCGGGTTCTCAGCTGGCTTTTATCTCTTAAGGGAGGAGCCATTACCTTGCAGCCTTATTCCCAAATCGCCCGTGCTGCTGTAGCTGCTCTTTCCTTCGAGCAGCCCTGCATGCACACGCACTGAGCACAGGCTCCTCAGGGACCTCTTCCTCACTGCTGCCAGCCTCCACCATCTCCGAAGGCAGCACTTCGCTCCCTGATGGTCCTGGCCCCATCCCTGCATCGCACGCAGGACCCTCACCGGAGTCCTCCCTCTCTGAGACCTCAGCTGTCTGCACCTGCTGCTGGTGAACCACAACATTTCATGACCCAACTAGGTAATATCATCAGTGCTAATAAGGAGTGGGATTAGCTGCCAGTTCATATTCTGGTGGGTTGCCTGTCTGTGTGGATGTGGTGGGGGTCTTAAAGATTCTTTGGTTGGGCCCTTTACTGTTGGGTCTTTGGCAGTTTCTTGATTGGGGTATTGTTTACTTGGTTGTTGGTCTGATGTTAACCGTGAAGTTCACCTTTGCCAGAGGTCAACCAATTTGGCAACTTTAAGACTTATGACTGGCTGGAGAATTCTGAGAGTTGAAGTCCACAAGTCTTAAAGTTTCCAGGTTTGGGGACCTCTGATCTATGCTGATCTGGTTGCTGGTTGCTGAGAGGTGCTGGGATCTTTTATTCTCTTTTGGGCTGGGGGATAAAGTCCCTTTTGCACAGTCTGCAGATGTTGTTAACCTCTATGTGTCTGTTGATGGTTGATTCGTCAGGGTGCCAGGCTTCTAGACATTCCCTGGCATTTGGGGCTAGGCCTGGTTTAGGATGGTCACATTTTCCCAATTGAAACTGGGGTTCCGTCTGTCTGTATGTTGTCAAATAAAAGAACATCTGACTGCCAGTTGGTGTTCATGGATGTTTGCATGCATGTTTACAGTCGTTTGCAACATGCTTCAGTCATGGCTGACCCCATTGTTTGTACTACAGTTTCGCTGAAAGCTGCTAATTGCTTCTGGTTGTTGGCAAGCCATGGTTTCATTTATTGGCCGCCGCAAGGAACATGGATTAACTCACAGGGCCGGCCTGTTTTACAACCAGGTTCCGTTACAGCTTGTAAAGCGAAACCCTCTTTCGTTGTACAACTTCTGAAGCAAAAGAGGCAACAGTAAGCCTCAAGGGTAGGAAGTTGTGAGTAACCTGTCGCCTTCCTCCTCTTGCAGTTCAACAGCTTTGAACAGCTCTGCATCAACTTCACCAACGAAAAGCTGCAACAGTTTTTCAACCACCACATGTTTGTGTTGGAGCAAGAGGAATACAAGCGAGAAGGCATCGACTGGGTCTTCATTGACTTTGGTCTCGATCTCCAGGCTTGCATTGAGCTTCTGGAAAAGGTAACCCTCCCCCACAGAAGCAACCTGGGGGTCTCCAGATAGGTTGAAGGCTGCTTTGAGGTCTTTCTTGCCATTGTTGTTGTTTTCAATCCTGACCTCGGGTAATATGCGTTCCAAGCATTTTTCCTTCCTTCCTTCCTTCCTTCCTTCCTTCCTTCCTTCCTTCCTTCCTTTTTTCCTTCCTTCCTTCCTTCCTTCCTTTATCTATCTATCATCTGTCTATCATCTGTCTGTATCTGTGTTCTGTATCTATCCATTTACCTACTTTTATCTGTCTCTATCTATCTATCTGTTTGTCTGCCTGCCTGCCTATCATCTCTCTCTCTTTCTCTCTCTTCGCTATCTCTCTCTCTCTCTCTCTCTCTCTTCCTGATCTGTATCTCTGTGTTCTATATCTATCCATCTATCTATTTTTATATGTCTCTTATCTACTCTATCTCTGTTTGCCTGCCTGCCTGCCTATCCTATCTATCTATCCTGTCTGTCTGTCTATCTATCTATCTATCTATCTATCTATCTATCTATCTATCTATCTATCTATCTATCTATCTATCATTTATCATCTATTTATCCTATCCCATCCCATCCCATCCCATCCCATCCTATCCTATCCTATCCTATCCTGTCTGTCTGTCTATATCTATCTTATCTGTCTATCCTCTGTCTGTCTGTCTAGCTATCTATTTATCTATCTATCTATCTATCTATCTATTATCTATCTATCTATCTATCTATCTATCTATCTATCTATCTATCTAT